GGTCGGATAAAAAGTCTTAACAACGCGAATTAAAAATTTTCGGATAATCCTGTTGCTCAAGCGAAAGTGGGTGATAGGCGAGCGACAAGTTTTGCTCGAGCGAAGTCCTGGCGACATGCTAGCTACAATGTTTTTGTTTTTGCCGCTCGAGCCAAGTCATGGCAACAGTCTAGTGAAATTGCGGCACCATTTTTCCTTCTTTTCCAATCTCCATTTGTAGACCTAATACAACTATATTTCTAATAATTGTAACTTACTCCTTGACTTTTACAACATATTAAATATAGTCATTTTTGTTCACAGACTTGTCAATTACATCAAAAACCTAACTACTTGTATAATCATCTGGTAAAAGAATCTTCTGATTCTTTATATGGTATCCATATGAGTTGTTGATTATTCGATGCATCATTATAGCTTCTAGATGTCCGACTCAATCATATCAAAGTACAAATTTTTTTAGGTCAACGAACTTTGGGTTCGTGATAATATTTGATTTGATCATTTTTATGAATGTATGGTACATGCCATAAAGGAATGCTCAAAATTTTATTTATCTGATTTTAGCCAAATATAAAAGAAATATTATTTTCTTCCATTGTTTCAATGTGATATCCATTGCATAAAAAAGTTATGCAAATATATTCCATATTGTTTTCTCCCATCGCCTCAACATGATATCTATTGCAACGGATATTTTTAAAATTAATCAAATTTCTTCTGAACTAATTATAAAAAAGTGTATGATTAATATATAATTTTGTATCATTTGATAAAATAATAAAAGCTCTTATGGAATTTTCAACAATATTCGATGCACCTGATATTATATTAACATTATTTTTTATTAATATTAAGTCCAAAAAATACATTTTCTTAAAAAATAGTATTTAACTATGAAGGTATATTGATAGTTCATCCTTAATTTATAAACATGACAAAATAAATATTTTTGAAAATTAAATTATATCAAAAGGAGGTAAGCAATACTTTAATCAACTAGAAATAATTTAACAACGCAATGTCTCAAACCTTAAGGAAAAATAAGAAAACATACTTCAAACAAATTTCTAAATTAAAATTAACTATTAAGACACTGAAAAATATACTAATCAATATTATTGAACATACCTCCTCTAATCAAATGATCAATATCGTCATTTTGGTCATTAAAAATATTAGAAATGTTCAAGTGAGTCACATTAATTCGACCGTCAAAATTAACAGATTTTTCTTCATTTTTGTATTTTCCTTTGATTGATTTTTGATAGAGATCCGCAAAATATTTTATTGTACGATAAGTACGTGCTCAATTCCCTTTCATTCCATATCTGAAATAACTTTCTTTGTTCTCCTTTTCGGATGAGTTGTTTTCATTTGCTCTAAGCTTCTTAAAACTGTTGCCTTGTTGCGATAGTGTTGTTGATTATTTTGCCAATAATCTTGTCCACATTCGCGTCCACGCCCATTTATTGCATGTGCTTTCAGAAAATAGTACAAAATCAGATGAATGTAATCCATGATTTTACATCAACAATTCATTATTTTATTCAGTTATCAACGAACAAGATATGAGTTCTAAGTACTTTTTGAAATCACACGTACGATATTCTTGCTATATGAGTATATTCGAGACATGAAATATGGAAAATGTTTTCTCTAATATATCTTCATCAGTGATATTTTCTCCACTCAAGGTCAATTTCGAATATATTCTAAGCAATATGTATTTTCTATAATATTGAAATTTTAACATTATGCTCTTCAAGAACAAATAATATTCCTTTAAAATGTTAATAATATTGCTTTACTTTATGAGTAACGACAAATTATTATTTATAAATATTAAGTCTTCAAAAGTATTTTTCTAGCAGAATATTAATAATTGCAGATTGTGCTTCTTTAAAAGCGACAACGTGATACATTATGAATTAAAATTTGCACAATGAAGAAGTATACATTAATAATTTTCATGCACAGTAATTAAGAGATATTTTACAGAATCAGAACATTAAAAAATTGGCACAAAATGATTGCCAGCCGGTGTAGGACTATTCAAATAATGACCGGCGCATGACATAATAATCACATCACGCAATATACTATTAACAGGCACATGTTAGATATATGGAAATCACTGTCCAAATAATTGGAATATTGATAAGCGTTAAATTTACACTTATTTAAATCATTAAAAGTGACTTTTATTGATATTATTATGAATTTTGTAATAAAATCTACAATTTTGAGATCAAATTTCACACTTTGAAAATTCAAGAGATTGAAGTCAATATGATCAAAGTGGATGGCAAAAAGCAATATGATTGAAGTCAAATAAAGCCTTGGAATTGGAAAATGAATCAACTTCAAAAGGGAAGTACGGGTGGATTGAGAATCTAATTGGGCTGAAAATAAGGAAAGAAAAAAGGAGAGCATGAAAAAAAAAGGAAGAAGAGAGAATACAGGCGGCGAGAGGAGAGAAGACGGATACACGAAGACAGGGAAGAAAATCAGGAGAAAAGTTCAATATTCTAGTGCAATTATTTCATCAATTGTTCAATAATTTGAGGAAAATTAATCACGTTCGTTGTCGTTACAGTCAGGAGATTTATACTACGCAAGGAAGGAGACAAAGAATATTATTAGAATCGTATGGTGAAGATTAACAATAGTTGGGAGGATTTTTATCTTGTTGAGTGTAATTGAATCCGGTGATGTTTTCCAACTTTTATTTGTTTGATTTCAACATTATTAGTGGCTAAATACTTTTTATGTTTGGATGTACGAGGTAGATTAAGGCTTAATTCCAAGATTTTCACGTCATTTTAATATGTGTTAATTAATTATTGTGTGTTTAATGCATCAATTGTCTGCGCACCAATTAATTGATTTATGGATAATATTGATCTAGCTCTTGCAATAAATAATATATATATTATAAGACATCGCGAGATAATTATAGGCTATGCAATCCATATTGAATTCCTATAGGTTAATGCGCTTATATGTGTGTGAATTATATAGAGATATTGAGTTTGTTTGGTACAGATTCTCATTTTTTACAGTAAATCAATTCTCATTTTCAACCACACATTTTTCAATAAAATAATATTTTCCATCATCTCAATACTTTTATCTTCTTTTTCAACCACACATTTCTCATCANCATGTTCAACCACACATTTTTCAATAAAATAATATTTTCCATCACATCAATACTTTTTTCTTCTTTTTCAACTACACATTTCTCATCATATCACTATTCAAAAATCAATTCTTCCCCCAAAAATCCCTACCAAACACACCCTTATTAAGTTCGAGTATATAAATAGGATTGGTGTTGTTCGAGAGAGATTACTAGATGTATTAGGTTAATTCGATCGTTGGGTGTGGAAAATGGTTGAATGAATTAGAATTAGATGTATGTTAAATAACTTGAGTGAAATCGAAAATTCTAACTACCTAAACACATAATCTTCTCTATCATGTTAATTTGATTTTGTTATTTAGAGGGTGTTTGGTAGGGATTAAAATTAGATTTTTAGTAGATTTTGATAAAAGTTTTTGAAATGTGTTGTTGAAAAGTTATGAAACCAATGAAAGATGTGATTAATATTAATTGTTTTACTTTAACTTGGATTAAAATTAAATTTTAATTTGGACCAAACAAGGGCTTTATTTATTAGAACTTTGGTTAGAAAGCACAATTTAATTTAATAGCTAGTTACCATTTTAATTTTAATTGAAATTAGGTTAATTTAAAAATTTATAGTAGATAATAGTTTTTATGAGACGATATTTGGACTTGATAAATTCACTTTATTATTTGTCACGATTCGTACATTCGCGTAATCACACAAACAAATATAAAATTGTTAAAAAAAATCATTATATCCGAAAACAACGGGCACAATATGTGGCATCACAATTGTTGCATGTCTATTTTAAGTGATGTGGCCTATCATAGATTTTTTTTTCTTACCTACAAATCTTCAAATCTTGGAAAACGAAAATAAAGATATCCGAAATTTGAATTAAAGGGTATTGTAGAGATAATGTGTAATAAAATAGAGAGAAAATGAGAAGAAAATAAAGAATTCAATAGACTATGTATTTCATCGATTTGCAAAGTCCAATATTTATAAAGAATAATTAGGATCGTAAAGGATACAATAGTCATAATAATTAGGACTGCATGAGTATAATGATTATTCACTAATAAGCATATAATTTAAAACTTGCCAATCCATCCAAATCTCCAGCGGACATGGAATTAAATTGAAGTAGGTAGATCTTTTTTTTTTTTTTAAAAAAATTTCA